AAGGCCCAGTATGTCTGGGACTCACTGTGGTCCCAGGGAAATGCACTGAGTCATGGGGCATAATGACAGGGGTGGGGGAGGGTAAGTAGCAGGAGATGAGGATGGCAAGGGAAGTTTGCTCCACATTCAATGGCCTTTGTTCAGAAGGCACTGGGAGCACATCAACTTTTTATAAAAGAGTCTCATGTATGTAGAACAGAAAACTGTGGCAGAATAATAAAAAAAAAAAGAGTCTCATGGCTGGACATGGTGACTCACACCCATAATCCCAGCACTTTGGGAGGCCAAGGCAGGAGGATCTCTTGAGACCAGGAGTTGGAGACCAGCCTGGGTAACAGACAGAGACCCCACCTCTACCAAAACATAAAAATAAAAAAATTAAAAGAGTCTCAAAGACCAAAAAGCCTTTAAGACCTAAAGAAAGGAGTCTCAAATGGTGAAGTTCCAAGCATCCTCCAGACCACAACATACCATTAATTGGCAAAGAAAGAAAAAGAAAAGCTCAATTAAGGAAAAAGGAACATGATTACTTTTAGTGTCCTCCCTCCTCCTTTCACTGTTGTCTGCCAGCTCTGTCATTAGCCATTTTCCTTGGAGATGTTTCCTTCAGCCCCTCCCTCCCTTTACTCTCCCCTCTTTCCCTTTCCGGTCACCCAAATGCCTCCTCTTCACCCTCACATCCAGCTAGTCTGACCCTCTGTGGCCATGATTTAAAATGCATCATAAGATAAAAAACATACTAAGCTAATTAGAACAGTATGTAAAACATTTAAAAAATTTTTTTAATTAAAAAGAAAAAGAAAAAGAAAAGTATGGTGCTGGTGCATCAACAGAAAAAGCAGATTAGGCGCAGCTCTGTGGCTCATGCCTGTAATCTTAGCACTCTGGGAAGCCCAGGCAGGAAGATTGCTTGAGCTCAGGAATTTGAGACCAGCCTGAGCAAGAGCGAGACCCCATCTCTACTAAAAATTGAAAAAAAAAAAGAAAGAAAAAACAGATTAATGGAACAAATAGGTAGCTCACAAATAGAACCACAAATTAATGGAAATTTAATATACAATAAGAGCAGCATTGCCAAGAAAAAAGATTATTTAATGGTGTAAGGTCAATTGTATATTTATATACTATATACAAAAATAAATTCTAGGTGGACTAAAAATAAAAAAAAATTTTGATTCCATCTTCTACAGTGAAGAAAAAGAAAAAAAAATAAATAAAAATAAAAAAAATAAAGTAAAACTATAAAAATGCTAGAAGAAAAAATACTATAAGAAACTATTTCTATAAACTTGAGGTTGGGAGAAGATTTCTATAAACTTCAGGTTTTGGAAAAGGATAACTCTAACACAATGTCCAGGAGGCATTAAGGGAAAGACTGCAAAATTAGACCACTCAAAAATTTGAACTTTCGTGCAGGAGAGTCACCATTCAAATCATTGATTGGGAGAAAATATTTGCAACATACATAAAAGATAAGGGCTAAAAATCTATGAAATATAAAGTGTTCCTATATATACATAAGAAAAAGAGAAACAATCTAATTGTAAAAATACACTAAGGGTAGATAAATCACAAAAAAGAAAAATAAATGGCAATGGCTAATAGGCATAAGAAGATATGCCCAATTATGAATCATTTTGAAAAGCAAATTTAAAATTATATTTTTGTCAATCAGATTGGTGAAGATTAAAAAAACTAGAGAGAAAATGAGGAAGTAGCATATCCAAACACTGCTGGCAGGAGTGAAAATTGTGATTTTTCTCCTGGAAAGGTTTTATTATGCTGAGGGAGGAGGGCTCAGTCCTTAGCAGTTGCTTCCTTTGTTGCACCCAGGATGCTATTCTGCTTCTCACTCCTCCTCATGGTGCAGATGTGCTGTCCACCCTTTTCATAATGAACACAAGGGTCCATTTGTCCTTGGGGACCTTGATCAACTCCATGGCATGCTGCTCATGTGGGCAAAGCCACACACCTATCTATGTCCTGCACTAACTCAGTGTGTGGTGAGGCAGGCACCCCTGGCGGCAGCTGCCCCAACTAGGCTTGCTCATGTTCTCAGTCACTTGTGGCTCTTATTGAGGCCCATGGCCATGGGGTAGTGCATCAGAGGGACAAAGTTGTGGGAAACATCTACTCTAGAGTCTAATAAGAAATAAGCAGTTCAGCAGGTCTGAGCACTTCTCAGTCAACAAAAGCAGCATCCCGTTTCTGCCACTATCTTGCCATACACAGAATGACAAAGCAGGCTGGGGTAGTATTGAAGATCACTTAGAGTTCTGATTTCCCATCATTTTTATCCATCTGGATGCCCTTTCAAGTCCCCAACAAATGTGCACCCAGGGCACGTAAGCAGGAGACTAGGTGGAGAGACAGAGGGCCCAGCACCCATTCCCAACAGTGGTAGCAGCATTTGTGAGAACCTGTAAAGAACCAAACTGCTGAGAGGCTGAGAGTGCTCCATTTAACTGAGAAATAAGTAAGCTGTATGTTGAGTTTATGATATAATTAAATATTATCATCCCACAGTGTATCACTGAACATTTTAGGTAAATAATATTCCCTCAAATATCAATAGCCTCTTCCAGTAGTGGGTGACCTGCTAATGTTTACACTCATAATTGCCTTGCTCCTTTTCTAGGAGAAATTAATCAGACTTAGTTTTGGCCAGAAACAGTAAGAAATTCAATCTAATGGGCTTTAATTAGAATAAGGTTTTGCAAGATGCCTCTAAAATCTATTGCTGAACAAATTGGGTACCACATAGTAGATATTAATATTTATTTCCTTAATAAAATTACCATGTAAGATGCATCACTTTGCTCTTAAATACCCAATGACATTTTTAGCAGTAGCATCTGCAAACCTTAGAGGGTGTTTAGAATCTTGCTTTCTTGACTATTGCTTTATCTCTCAAGTCTTTTGGTTACTCCAAGCTAAGTTTCAAAGGTCTTTGAGACCCAGGCCAAAGAACTGCCTTGGAAAGGCAACAACCCTCTAAAAGATCCACATCCATGGTGGCAGGGCCAGCTGGCAGGAGAGTCAGGCCTTGGTAGGTCCTTCTGCAAAATGCACCTGTGCTTCCTGACACCACCAAGCCACCTGGCTCCAGAACCAGGCAGCCTGTACCACTTAACCCAGGCGTCCTCAAACTACGGCCCGCAGGCCACATGTGGGTATTTTACCCCGTTTGTTTTTTTACTTCAAAATAAGATATGTGCAGTGTGCATAGGAATTTGTTCATAGTTTTTTTTAAAACTGTAGCCTGGCCCTCCAATGGTCTGAGGAACAGTGAACTGGTCCCCTGTTTAAAAAAGTTTGAGGACCCCTGAACCAGTGAGATTTGGATATCCTTGCACTGTTCATGGCATTTGTCCAGAGCCACGCATCTTGACCCATCTCCAAGTCCATTCCGATCCGTCCTGAACGTCCCAGCTCATGTCTTATTTTGCTGTCTTTGGGCTAATCTAAACTACCTTTTAAACCTAATAATGCTTGACACCCTTTCTTGCAGTTTTGCTTCCATTCTACCCAACTCCTTTCAGGTGTCCCCAGGGCTTGCAAGTATCCTGGAGCATTACTGGAGAAGAGGGGCTTCTAATCATGGGAGAAGTCTCTGAAGCAGAGGGACATCAGGGGTTCTGCTCAAAAGGGGACAGGGAGGTGTCTTAGAGACAAAGCAGGAGGAACAGGCCCTTGAACCTGCCTCTGCTTCAGGGCATCCACCCGTTATGGGATATCTACATTCTACTGCTGGAGTGCAGTGGCCTGATGACTGCAGCCTTGAAGTCTTGGGCTCACGCAATCCTCCAGCCTCAGCCTCCTGAGTAGCTGGAACTACAGGCATGCGCCACCACACCCAACTAATCCAAACACCAACTCTGGCCTGTTGTGAGACTCAGGTCCTGGGCCCTGCCTTTTCTATTTCTCCTATCTCTCTGTCCTCCTCCCAAGTTCCTGCTTGCCTTATTTTGGGTCTACATATACAAATTCTCTTCTTTCACCTCCTTACTCCAAAAGTAGAGCTTCATCCATTCAACAAAAATTTACTGAGCACTTATTATTTTCCAAGTATTGCTCTAAGCACTAGGGATACCGCTGGGGGGAAATACATACAAATCTCTGCCTTCAGGAGCTTAAATTCTAATGAGGGAGACAGAAAATAGGTAAAGATTAGTATTGAAGATGGTGATAAGTTCTAAGGATAAAAATAAAGTAGGAAAGGAGGACAGGAAGTTGCCAGAGATGAAGGGATGGTGGTGCAGTTTTTTTTTTTTGAGACAGAGTCTCACTTTGTTGCCCAGGCTAGAGTGAGTGCCGTGGCATCAGCCTGGCTCACAGCAACCTCAATCTCCGGGGCTCAGCGATCCTACTGCCTCAGCCTCCCGAGTAGCTGGGACTACAGGCATGCGCCACCATGCCCGGCTAATTTTTTTTGTATATATATATTATTTTTTAGTTGGTCAATTAATTTCTTTCTATTTTTGTTAGAGACGGGGTCTCGCTCAGGCTGGTTTCGAACTCCTGACCTTGAGCAATCCGCCCGCCTCGGCCTCCCAAAGTGCTAGGATTACAGGCGTGAGCCACCACGCCTGGCCGGTGGTGCAGTTTTAAACATTCACTCCAAAGGTGATATTTGAACAGACTTGAAGGACATGGAGTCGCTCAGACACCTGGAGAACAGGCGTAGATCCCAGTTCTGTGGGACGCAATGTTTATACAATTTTGAAACCCTCTTTAAGAAACAGAATATAAAATTATCAATACTAAATTGGGCACACGTCTAGGAGCGTGCCGATCTAAGCGAAGGGCCGAAGCTTACGCTCGATCAGCTTAGCGGTAACCCAGCCCCCGCTGAAGGGACAGCGGTTCTCCGGAAGAAAACGGCCGGTGGCCGGGGCGGGCGCTTGCGCAGGAGCATGCGCAGTGAGTCGGCAGCGCGGGCGGCCGCGGCGGCGGGAGCAGAGCCAGCGGGAGGGCCTGCGGAAGGCGGGGAGGGCGGAGGGGTGGCGGGGCCCTGACTAAGTAAGATGCTGGACTTTGGTGTTACTAGCCGGGATGGGAAACACTGGAGGTTTTGAGCAGAGGAGTAACATGATCTGACTTTGATTTTGAAAGAATTCCTCTGGCTGCTATTTTGAGAGTAGATTGAAGCCGGTCAGGGATGGAAGCAGAACAGTTAGAATAATTTAGGACAGAGAGGATGGAGGCTCGGGCCAGCCTGTTAGCGGCAGAGGTGTGATAAGTGCGCTGATTCTGAACATGCCTGGAAGATAAGTCCACAGGATTTGCTACCAGAGCAGATGTAAGGGTAAGGAAGAGAGGGAGATGTCATGGGTGACTCCGAGAATTTTGTCCTGAGTAACGAGAAGGATGTGGTTCCATTAACTGAAAAGAGGGGAAATTTGAAATCTGAGAGCAGCTTTTAAGCTGAAGATGAGAGTTCCGTCTTGAGCACGTTAAGTTTGAAATGTTTATACATCCCAAGGGAGGGATGGAGTCTGAAATTCAGTCTAGTAGAGATCTGGGCAGGAAATAATAAATTCTTGAACCTGGATTAGATCACCAAGGAAAGGAATATGGTAGAGAAAAGGAGTGTTCCTAGAGTTGAACCCTGAGACCCTCTGATATTTAAAAGTCTGGGAGGAGAGAAAGAACTGACAAAGGAGACAAAGAACAGGCAGAGAAGTAGCAGCAGGACCAATAAAGAGTGATCACAAAGTATGTCAAAGAGGTGGAAATGATCAAGTGTTTCAAATGCTGCTAACAGGTTAAAACGTGAGGACTGAAAATCGGCCACTGAATTTACCAACATGCAGAGATCACTGGCGATCTTGACAGAAGCAGAAAGGCTTATCGGTGAGGATCCAGGCCTTAGCCAAGTAAAAAACAAACCACAATTAAAGCTTCATCCTTGTATGTCTGGCTGGGCTGCCTTCAGCACTGGTAAGCAGTTAATTTAACATCTTTTGGTCTGGTCTCTGGGACCTTCCACCATCAGCCAGGACTTGTGAGCCATGCCTGCCTCTAGGTTCTTTTCAACCCTACAAGCAGAACTCAGACACCTGGGCAAGCATTTTACCTACTGGAAACCACTAATCTCCTAGAGAATTTGGATTCTATAATTATGTGTGTAGGGAAAAGAGACAGAAAAGCAAAGAGAAATAAGGAGAAAAAAAAGTAAACTCGAAACAAAATGTATTACTCATTTTTAGTTTCTGCTGTAAGTAAATACTGGCCTTACCTTGTGAGTTAGCTATTAACAAGACTGTATCAGTGACTGCAAAGACTCAGCATGATGGCAGGAACACAGCTAAAATGGCATTATGTAATCTTCCAAAGGAACTTTCCTTTTTTTAATTAACATTTAGAATTAAGTCTTAAGTCTTGTTGGTTTTGCCACTAACCAGCCATGTCTCTTCCTCCCTCTCTGGACCTTTGGACAAGAGAGTATGAACAAAAATGATAATGTTTTGATTTTTATAGTTTACTTGGCATTTGTGCACATAGTACCTCAGTTAGTCCCTGTTTGAGTTTGTTGTCAGAGCATTTAGTATTTATATGATTAAAACAATAACAAAAAATGTGCTGAGTAAAATTTTTCAGACACATCTGATAATAGCCCAGCTTCAATCAACAACACAGCGGTACCCATCATGTACGGGTATTGTGCTTGCCCAGGTGTCTGAGTTCTGCTTGTAGGGTTGAAAAGAACCTAGAGGCAGGCATGGCTCACAAGTCCTGGCTGATGGTGGAAGGTCCCAGAAACCAGACCAAAAGATGTTAAATTAACTGCTTACCAGTGCTGAAGGCAGCCCAGCCAGACGTACATGTGGCACTGGCCAACAGAGCCACAAGTCTGAGAGCCTCCTTTCTAGGCCAGTGGAATTTTGTTCACCCAGTTGCTGCCAGTTATTTCTTCTTTTCTTTATTTCCAAGGTAGCAGGAACCCTACAGAAACCTAGAAGAAAATATTTCACATGCTGATGTGTGTTTTCTTCACATATTTCCCTAGAAGGCTGCCAGCCTGGGCAGTGGGTCAGCAGCCCCTCTGCTGGTTCACAAGGGATGGTCAGGCCCAGGGCCTGCAAGTTCAAGGAGGAGCTCTGGCCCTGACCCAGCCTCATCTCACCAATGAGGGGCAGTGGGTCAGAGGATTTTCTATGACTACAAAAACAACTCAAAGGCCAACCCTTCCCAGCACTGGGTAAATATCAACATCCCTAATTCTGAGAGAGGTCCAAAGAGGTGACCTTGACCCTGTGAGTAGTCCTCCATGGCTGGTTCTTGATCGTTGATCTGAACTCTTTTTGGACCTGAAGGACCAGGTTGGATTAATCTCTGTATCCCAGGGCTTATCACGGTGCCTGACACGTGGGTAATGCTGTGCAAATGTTTGCTGGGTTGCCATTAGGGCCTGTCCCTTCCCCTGCCACATCTTATCACCTCTGCAAACAGGTGGCTGCCCTTGGACCTCATTGCTTTGGGTTTTGAACACTCAGCTCTATGAAGCGAGTCCATTGACTTTCAAAATCTGCATTCTGCATCCAGAAAAACTCACCAGATGAGGGACTTTTGACGATTTGCTCACATTAATATTGAAAGTTTATCCTAGACATTTTAGAAAATAAAGATTACTATAAAATAAGATAAAAATTATATTTCTCATCACCTCCTTGCTCTGACAGAACTCTTATGCTGCTGTGCAGCCATCTCAGGCAGTAAATGTCTCACCTCCTGGAGTAAATGCCCTCTTTGCTCGTGACCGCCTCTTCCAGGCCATTCTGCCATCAGCTTCAGTCAGACTGTAGGCAGGACTTCATTGATTACCAGCCTTTACAGACCCCCAGTCTAATAAAGAGACCACAATGATGCTTTGGGTCTTCAGGTATCATTTTCAACTCAGACAAGTTGACTGATTCCCATATGATCCAGCAATTCTACTACTAAGTATATATCCAAAAGAAAAGAAACCAATATGTCAAACATACCTCTGCACTCCCATGTGTACTGCAGCACTATTCACAATAGCCAAAATATAGAATCAACCTACATGTCCATTAGCGGATGAATGGATACAGAAATTGTGGTACACATACACAATGGAATATCATATAGCCACAAAAAAGAATGAAATCCTGCCATTTGCAACAACATGGATGGAACTGGAGAACATTATGTTAAGTGAACTACGCCAAGCACAGGAAGACAAATCTCACATGTTCCCACTCATATATGGGGGCTGAATATTAAAAACAATTGATCTCATGGTGACAAGAGAGTAGAATGATGGTTACCAGAAACTGGGAAGAGTAGTGCAGGGGGAGGGAGATAAAGTGGGGATGGTTAATGGGTACAAAAATATAGTTAGATAGAATTAACAATGTTTGATAGCATAGCAACTTATGGTTGACTATAATCAACCATAAGTTAGGTATACTTTAAAATTACTGAAAGAGTGAAATTGGAATGTTCCTAACACAAATGTTAAATGCCTTAGGTGTTGGATACCCCAATTACCCTGATTTGATTAATTCACATTGTATGCCCGTATCAAAACATCATATGTACCCTATAAAGATATACAAATATTGTGTATCAATAATTGAAAATAAAAAATTAGAAAAAACATAAAAAACAATGGGGATACTTTTTTAGTTTATTCTAATTGGAAATCAACTGTAGACTTCAGAGGCTCAAGAGGTAACTGTTTCTTCTTTAAAACATAATTAAACTGGCCCATCAGATTGTATTGGTAAAGTTTGAGTCTACAATATATGACATGCTTGGTAAGGGTAGCTTTTATTATCCAGAAGTGGTATTGGCTAGGCAAACTATTAAACAAAAATCATGCTGCTTCTTCATTTTTTTAGCAAGTCCAGGTGCAATGGCCACACCTGAAAAAGCAGTGGTATTAGGAGTTTGGAAAGGACAGAGTGGACAGCATAGGTGAAAATTGCCTTTTGTTTGCTTCTCTTCTCTCTTTGAATCCAGGCAAGGCCCTCCCTAAGAACAACCTGGAACAGGGGTTCTCAAACCTTCATGTGCAGCAGAATCACTCCTAGTTTCTGATTCAGTGGGGCTGGGGTAGGACCTGAGAATTTGCATATCTGACAAGTTTCTGGGTGATGCTGATGCTGCTGGTCTGTGGACCATACTTCAAGATCCACTGGGCTGGAGAAGGAGAAGAAAAGAAGGTTGTGCTATCATGCTGGAAACCCACTGGTGGAACTAGGCCCAAAGGGCTGTGTGAAATCAGACTGAGAACAACTTTTTTTTTTTGCCTTCTCTTAACTTGCAAAAAGACAGGTACCTTGTTCTTTTCAGCCAAGCAAACACCACAAGAAACTTTTTGTTTTGCTAAAAGAAAATTATGTTAACAGTTTTTTTGAAGATGACTTAAAACACTAGGTAGCCTCTGCATCTGGGCTACCGTGACCACTGTGGTCCAAGGCTCAGGCCTCTGAATTTCTCCCTGCATCATCTTCCCACCTCCTACTGATGGCCTGAAAGAATCTCAATAACGTGTTTGTGAACAGCAATTTGAAGTTTTATTAGCATTTAGAATTAAATAGGAGCCTTAAGGCCAGTTGGTTTTGCTACTAACCAGCCATGTCACTTCCTCCCTCTCCAGATCTTGGCTTCCTCATCAATAAAAGGAGAGGTTTAGATAAGTGAGTATGAGCAAAAATGATAACATTTTGATTTTTATAGTTTACTTGGCATTTATTATTTTGTTATTTATCATTTATTATTTTATAGTTTTGCACACATATTATTAATATCTGAGTTAATCCCTGTAAAATAATTTTTATTCTATCCCCATCTTTCACAGAGAAGGAGACGGTCATTTTTGAGGACCAATATTAAAAATGGCCACATAGAAACTTCTGCAAAAGCACCACTGGTGACAGAGTCCTCTATTTACTTAGTGTCCCTTATATAACAATTTATGTGAAAAATTTCTCCTAAAAGTTAGTGCTTGATAAATAGGTCCCTCCAGAAGATGTAATATGTGTCATTTTATAAGACAATTTTCTAACACTTAATGTTTTTCTTTTGTTCTAACTGTCGAGAAGCTTAGGACTAATTATACTAAGATTATAATAAACACTTACATCTCAAATTTAAGTGTTGGAAACATTATCTTTCATATCCGCTAAATCCTAATGCTTAAGTGTTTTCTTACACAGACTGTTGATAGGGTGACTGTGTAATTTACCATCCAAATGGGACTCTTTTCAAAGTGAAAGAGAACACTATTAGTATTAGTAATTATGCCAGCGTAGCAGAAGTAAACTAGGACTGTCCCAAGCAAATCAAGGAGGGTGAAGAGGACACCCTACCTATAATTGGAAACAGGTCTGGCAAAAATTATATGCAAAGTGCACTCAATTTGACTTTGTTGGTGCAGCTGTTGGGGTCTCATTAACCTCAGTGAAGTCACGTAGGGGTAGGGATAGGTTATAATTCATAGGAAACAACAACAATAACAAAGGTTCTGAACGTATTTGGGGTTACATGACTCCCATCACTATCCCTGTGGCACTTTATTCCCCAAAGCATCTGCCCCTAAGCACCAAGGACATCATGTCCTGCAGCCAGTCGCGGCTCTAAAATTCTTTATGGGAGGAGCTTAGGCAAGGCGATCCGTTTAGAAGGGAATGACAGAGGCCCTTTAGTCGGAATTGTGTGGCACTTTATTAAAGAATGGAAAAATGTGATTGTCCATCTCCAAGAACGGGGTGGTGGTGATGGTGGGGCCCGGGAAAGTCAGTCGCCGTGCAGTCCCGCTCCCTCACGGAGCATGCCATCCTACGTTTGCCTGCTCCCGGCCTGCTGAGCTTTCCCGGTGCAGAGGACAGGACAGACCTCCCCGCCTCTGCCCTGCGGCACCCAGGCGAGCGGCCTCGCCCTCTCCCTCCTCTGCAGGCGGGTCCCGGGGGCTAACGGGCGGGAGGAGGCCGTGGCGTCTCTTCTGAGAACCAGCACTAGAGGTCGCCCTTCTCCAACGTCAGACGCGGTTCCACCGAAGGTCAGGCTCGCGGCTGCCGCGGAGGCGCTGCGGGAGGCGGGCCGCTGCCCCGATCGCCCCAGGTGGGCAGGCGCCGCTCTGGAGAAGACGGGGACGCTGAGCCCTCCAGGCTCCTGGGGGGGCCAAGCTTGCTGAGGGGACGCCGCGCTGGGCTGGAGGCAGGGCGGGCGGCTCCATAGTCCTCCCTAGGCCCAGCCATCCTCTGTGCTCTGTGGGGAGTCCAGCGCCTTGGGACCTGACGAGCTGCCTGGCGGCCAGGCTGAGAACGGCCAAATCCTTTCCACAAGGGATGAACTTCTGGGAGCAACCAAAGCCTGTGCAGCCTGCGGAGCACACGACTGATGTGTGTGTCAGCTGTAAGGTGCTCCCACGCCGAGGCACTGCACCCATTTTTAATTGGCCTATTATTCTGTGCAAATATAGACACTGTCAGGGCGGCTCAAGTGTCCCATAAGAGCCATCGTGGCCAGGGCTGCCTGGCTGCCTGTGGTTCTCCCTCGCTTGTGTTCTTCTCGGCCATACTTTTCTCACAGAGGCCTGCTTGTCTGTGTAAAAAGAGAGGGTGCTTCCAGCAGGCAATTCTACAATCTTCCTTTTCTGTTCATACCCTGTTTTCAGCTGGAAGCCAGAGGGCTTGTTCTGTGTGCACGTGGGAATGCTGGGGGTTAGAGAGGCTAAGTCCCCAACCAACGTTAACAGAGACACTGGTCTGTAACCCAGGATGGCTCACTCGGGCAGCTCCCACTCACATGGGGGCCCTGCTTGCCCTCCTCAGCAAAACACGCAGAACTGAAAAGAAAACTCTGCCTGGGCTAGTTTTAAACTAGGTAAGGGCCTCAAAACAAAAGCAACACAACAAACAAGCAAAAGTGAGCATTACCTCTGAGCCCTGTAGGCCCTGTAAGTTACTCACCCATGAGCCCTTTGGCTCGGGCCTTTGGAATGGGAGAGAGAGGTCATCTGCTTGCTTCTACAGCAGTGACCCCCAATCTTTTTGGCACTGGGGACTGGTTTCATGGAAGACAATTTTTCCACAGACTTGGGGGGGTGGGAATGGCAAGACATGGGGAGTGGCTATAAATGCAGATGAAGCTTCACTCATTTGTCCACTGCTCACCTTCTGCAGTGTGGCCCAGTTCCTAACAGGCTATGGACCGGTACCTGTCCTCAGCCCAGGGGTCGGGGACCGCGTCTCTACAGCACCCCGAGCTTCTCTTTATCCAGGCCCAATGGCAGACCTCAACCGGCCTGGTTCCACACCAGTAATGCTCAGTGTGTCCAAAGTCAAATGCAGCCGTGTGTGTTCCACAGGTGAACAGACAGGAGTCATTGCCACATAACTCTCAAGGTACCTGGCATGTGACGGCCCTTCCTCTTCCCGCTGGGAGGAAATTGGGCAACCCATTTCCCAGCTGGAAGGTGACCCGGAGGTCCTCCCTGGACAGGCCATTTAAATTGGGCATCCTGGGGTAATACAGGTCACACTGATGCTATCACACACAGTGGAGGTCCGTGTACTCACAGAACCAAAGTAGCTCTCTCTGTGTCTAGAGTGTAGCCTCTTAAGGACGGGAACCATGGCTGATTCATGCTGCTGTCACCACAAACCCAGAAACACGGGGTGATGAGTGCTTTGTGAAGTTCTCATCCATCAAAGGCTTCCAAATTAACCTCAACGCTAAATTGAATTAAACCACAGCTATCTGTCTTGGGAGAAATATGTTTTTCTGGAACACAGGGAGGATCTTAGATATAACAAATCGACATTTTGAAACATAATAACCCTTTAAAGGCATCTGTTTACGTTTTTTTAAAGTAATTCCTGACAAAAGGATGGTTCATAGCAGTATCGAATGTTTACCAAAAAGCACATGTTATATTTCTTCTTTGTTTCTATCTCAAGAACTAATGATTTTTTCTCCCCGAGAGAGTGCCTTCCTCTGTATTTCACCACCCTGAGAAGCCACATTGGGAAGAGAGGTAAGCCCTGAGAACAGGACACTATTCAGCTCTTCTTGACCTTGAAGATCTTTTTGGTAT